ATATATATATATATATATATAAATTTTATTCTATATTTTCAATTTATATAAGGAATTATCTTCTCGATTGTACTATCATTTTTACTCTGTATATGTTAGTACGAAAGAATATACCTATATCCATCTATAACGCGTTCCAAAGCCGGTATTCTTTCAGTTATTGCATTGTTGCCGTCCACCGTTATCTCTTTCTCATACATATCCAATTGTTGTCTGTAACTGTCCCTCTCTCTGGTGACGAGAATCATCTTCTTCTGGAGCCTATTCACAAGCTTGCTCAATTTATCTTTCGACAACGTCATATCAGTAACCAATTTCCTTGCCTCTTCGTAATTATTTGACAAGTTCTGCGACTCTCGTATAACTGCATCCAACTTCGATCTAAGCTGGCCTTCTTCTGCTCTTAGGTCCACTTCAGCTTGCTGAAGTCTATTCAATTCCCGCTTCATCGCCATTGGTCCTCCAGTAATGCCAATAGTTTCATATTCCTGCAAGCGAAGCACAAGCTCAGATCGCTTTGCTTCTAACATTGCCACTTGTTGCTCTACTTTTTCAGTATGCTCTAGCCTGTAATAAAATATTTTTCGTTAATTAAGCACAATATTTTATTTCAATCGCGTTAAAATTACCTTTTTGTCATGTTAGCCATTTGTTCTTCTAAAAGTAATTTCTCCTTAACTGATTCTTTTAACACTGCAATTGTCCTTTTTGCAACATTCAATTCTTTCTCCAAGTCATTTGCTCTTGCAGCTCTTCCTGCTAATAATTTGCCCTCTTCCCACAGTGCTCTTTCTGACTCCAGTTTTTCTAATTTCATTTTCATACTTTGTAGTTCCACATTCAGCAATTCGTAGTCCTGTTGCATCTTGAGATATTCCTTCATTTTCTCCTCCAGTATTGCTGCTCTGGCTTCCACAGTTTCCAGTTTTATTTGTAATTCATTTGATTCGTTGATATCATTAGGAGTAGGAGACTTTTCCTTTGTGGAAATATTTCTTAGATTCTCGGATAATTTTGCATTTTCGTTTAATAATGATGTAATTTTCCTTTCTAAATTGTTTTTTGTCTAAATAAATACAAAGTGTTAAAATTGACTTAACATAGTTACAAAAAATGTACAATTAATTAATATAAAAAGCAATTACTTGGGACCATTCTTTCTCTGCAGTATCATGTGTCTCTTTTACATCCTGGATTGTTCGCCGTGCAACATCAAGTCGGACTTCCAGCTGTTGAATAGTTTGTTTATCCTGTTCTGTCTGGATTTGCAAGAGACCTTTCTCCTTCTCGAAGACTTCCTCCATCTGTCTACGTATATTGTGTAACTGTTGTACAGCTGCCTCTTGATGCATCAGTCTAGTCTTTAATGATATAACCTATACAAAAACGTACAAGTATTTTTTTTGTTTTTTTAGTTGAACCAGTGTATAACTTTCTGTATTTTAAGTGAAGTAATTATACATTTTAAATTTTGTAAAATCAAAGTTTTGGTGTTGAAATTAAGTTTTGGTGTAGGAATAAAACACAAAGTTTTCTTTCAAAAATTTTCTTTCAGATTTACTTGGATTTTTCTTATATTTGAATTATACACTCTTACCTCTCCCTTCATACGTCGCCATTCCCAAGGACTACCCGGGACAGAGTCAGACTGAGTTTTATTGCTAATGGATGTATCAGATTCATCTAATCTCAGCCGTTTAGGTGAAGTAATGCTGTCATCTGAGCTTTCATTGAACTTCGAGGATACATAGCCAGTACCTGAGAAACGTATTCCAACACTTCTGCGATAAGATTCTGCTCCAGAACGTAAGTCTTTTATCATATTAATAATACTCGTTGGATCTTGATCGCTCATCTGTACAAAATTATATTAATTTGTTTATGATATCACATCATTAATCTGATTTTATGACATTAAATGCAGTATGTAAAATACAAACAAGTATAAAATTTATACAATAATAAATTAAACATTAATAATACGTCAATAACTACATTTAACGTCAATAATTATTGTATATTATTTTTATATTTTAATAAGATAATTAATCAGTTTAGCGGCCTCAGGTTCAATATTAAGAAATTTTTGCAATAACGTGAATCCAGATACGGTAAAGTCACGTTATCCTTTTCTTAATTAAGTATTGTTCGTTTTGTTTCTCGGAAGCTGTACTTGAAATATAGAATTCACTACGTACGACATATCCATCATATGACATCCGAAATTCATTTTGTTACGATGAACGTCGTATGACGGATGTCGTATGTAGTGTGAATCCTACATTTCAAGTACGCTGGATTCATTCGGAGCAATCCCGAGCAGCTCCCGAGCAGCTCCCGAGAGACAAAACGGACAATGCTAGTTGTTAAGAAGATAACCTGATCTTAGCGTTCATCGTCATTTGACTAAACGGTATTGTAAAAACTCCCTATTAAAATTACTTCGAGACCGTTAGCTGAAAAATTATCTTTAAAAGATTATAATTATTATTTGTTCATATTTGTTTTTCCTTACATTTATCTTGTTCTTTTCGATTATAATTCTTACAGAATCAAACGAAACACAACAACCACAATATATATAATAGCACAACTCTGTCAATCACTGATTACTGAACGCATTGAACTATATATATATATATATATACACTAGAGAAAAACCTGACTTGTGAGAGAGGACCTGACGGCCCAAAACCTGTAACCGCAAAATACTACCGCGCACTACTGCCCTCTAACAAACTGGATGTAAACTAGCTATGTCCACTTTTCTTAGGGTACATCGTCCACTTTTTCAAAGCTGGAAATGATAAATTGATATTTGGTTCATACATCGACGAGATACTATTAAAGACGGATATCCTTACGGGAGTTAGCGTCCTTGTGAATATTTAAGTAATTAAGAGTTAAAAACTGAAAATATTGTACTAACTTTATAATTTATTAGTTTAGTGGACGTATTTATGCATTTAAAACTCAATAATACTCGATTTTTCTTCAAAATTGTGATTTCAGTGTTATCGTCAAAGTTTGATTATCAACAGAGCATGATAACTGCAGAGAAAAAATTGTAATTTTTCTGCAATATATAGAATATTATAGCTTTACAAGTATGCATATTTATTTATGCAACATTTATATAATAAAAAATCATAAATTGAATAATGTATGAACCAAATATTATTTATATTAATAATAGTTAATAATTAATAATTTATATTAATTGTCGATAATGTCAGCATTCTTCAATTACCTCCAGGCCCTTGGGGCCCTTTTTATACCGTCGAAAATTTGCTCAAAGTTGGCGGTCTTTAATAGTATCTCGTTAGTGGGAAAGTGAAGAATCAAAATAAAATATGCATATATAAATTTAACACACAATAATAAGATATAGATAACAAATGTTAATAAATATATATATATTATTTAGTAGCTATATAAATATAATTGTAATGTTCAATAGCTATACAAATAATGTTATATTATATTGACCGTTAAAAATTACAGCTTTCGTTAATATGCGTCTCAAAAGATTTTTTTTTTTAGATATTGTGATGCATTTCCTTTCATAAAATAATTTTATTTTGAAGTAAAATATTATTATTAATTTCTTTTTTTTTTAATCTTCTTCTAATTTTATATGGACATCAAAATGACGACGATTCCGGCCAACTCGGGTAGTAACTTCTTTTCTTTGATTTATGAAATTGAAATATATATCAAGTATTGAACTGGTAAACTTAAATTTGTACTGTACATGAATTAACGATACATCGAAGTACCGAGATTCGCCATTTCACTGGCGGGGGCACTTTTCATGTTGGTACGGCGCGAGAAAGCCAATTAGCAGTCCATAGTCAAATATTATATAGTCAAAGGAATCAACCAACTACAGTCGAGCATTCCCCTGTCGTTCGATTGTAACAGGGGAATATGCGACTGTAATTGGTTGGTTCTTACATTCTGATCTAGTTTAAACCTTCGGTGGAAACTAGGTCACTGATAGTACACACGGATATGCAACTTCTGCTTTTGCATCAATTTAGCGGACCAATCACCGATCGCTATTTTATTATCCGTACTCTTATTATAGGTATATACCTTAATTTGTGTCATTCTATCCTTGTTTTACATCTAATAAACAACGAATATAAAATGACAAAAGCGCTAATAGCATTTCTTCAAACGCACCACATGTCGAATCTTGAGCAACATTTATGGATTCCGCCCATTGTTATGTAATTGACATCCATTTCTTCAGAGGGCGGTAGTGCGCAAGGTATTTGGCATTTTGCGGTTAGGGATCCGCATAATAAAAGGAGCAGGGAACAGAGAGCAGAGAATAAGAATTTTAACCTATTAGAAACTGTGTATTCCACAATACATGATTTCTGATAGGTTGAAAGTCTTCTTATCTATTCTCTATGCCTTATTCCTTTTATTGTTCGGAACCCCTTACAGAAAAAAGGCTCATGTCCGCTTTCAGGTTTCTCTCTACTATAGCTATTGGGCATTCACCGTGATTGTAGTCGAACTGCACCGTGCACGCCGTCGTGATTTGATATGCACGTCTTTCTTGGTCTTCCTCCGTTTCTCCTAAGCTAGTTGAGTCAGCCGTAGTAGTGGCACGTCGTTAGGTGAAGACAGCTCCGAGGATGTCCAAGAAGCAGGACAAGGTGGACAACGGCATCGTCGCCGTGAAGAGTAAAGTGGGTGTACACGTTGTGCCATCAGTCGTGGACAATATAAGATATGGAGGACGTTCGCGGGATTGCGCATTATTTAAATTATTTTACAGTTCGACGCCGACATCATCAGATTCTCCATGAATCGTAATGAGCCTATGAGTTATGAGGACTTTGGAAAGTTACTGGCGCAAAGACATGACCTGGGGACAGATTTCAGCTTTTCAATTTGGTACACGGATACAGATGGTGATCTACTTCCCATCAATAATGATAACAATCTGGCGAGGGCTTTAGCGAATGCCAAGTGTCTGCTCCGAATTTTTATACATAGGAAAGGTAAGATTCTTGCACTATATATTACACTCCTCATTCTGTATGTATATATATATATATGGGTGCAAAATGTTTAGGCTATTTTCCATTTAATTTTCCACAAACATTCTATTTTTCTTAGCATTCAGTGAATAACAAAGATAGAATTACACTTGTGTTAATTTCATCAAATGGAAAGCACCCTATATATTTTGCATTTATATATTTAGAGTGTTTTCTAGCAAGAGATATAATATAAGATGATATAATATAAGAGACTAATATTACATTTATTTTTTTTATATGACAAATTTTTCAGCTTATATTGATTGGTTATAGGACAGAAAGATCCAAGAATCTCTCTATTCTACTACTAATTAATAGGTTTGAGAAATTTGTCGTTTAAGAAATTTGTTATACTACAAATGTAATACCAGTCTACCACAGTAAATCATTATATTCTTGAATATTTTGTGACAGAAGTCAACACAAATGTAGTTTTATCTTTTTTGGTATTATCTGTTGGTTTTATCTTTTTTGGTTATCATTTCATGATAAACAATAAAGACATAAAATATCAAGTGGAAAGCATTCCTTGTTTGTCAATGTTAAACAAAGTTGAAATAATTTACAGTGACTAATTTAC